TTTTTTTTTCTGCTTTTGGATATTAACATTTTATTATTTCTCTTATAGTTTTTTTCCAGGGAAAGGTTTTGAGGGACTAGCTGTGGCCTTCAGTGCTTTGCCATATTTTTTACACTTTCTAGCTGTTCTTTTACATGGAGTGGCCTTTTTTTTTCCAAATAGATTTTTAATAGGATTGAATCACGATTGTCAATTGTCCTTCTCTTGTTATTGCTGTTTCAGATGACATGATTAGGAGCAACATTGTCTTGGCTCCATTTGCCATTAGCACAGGAGTTTGAAGTTGACTTAGTTTGTTCTCATTATGATTTAGCTTATTAATTAGAATATCTGAATTTGTCTCCATGCACATGTATTGATCATGCACTTTGTGGTTAAATTTGTACCAAAAAGTTATGAAATTGCCGCAATTATTTAGTAATGTGTGTCGTATTTGGCGTTGCAATCATTAATGCTATATAAGCAATTTTCTGTTCCCTATGTCCAACGTTGTGAAATAAAGAATATAATGGGGATGCTAATTTTTCAGGCTGGTGTTTCACCTCTTGTTCAACAACAACTACAGGAGTTGTCAAATGCAAAATTGATAGGAAAAATGGGTTCTCAAGAGAAGAAAACCCGAGGACTTGTGGTAATTGGTCAAGACTGTGTCGAACCACTTCAAGCTCTTAGGAACTCTGGTCGTGAGGTACAAGTACTTGCACTTTCTTTCATATTACTTGTGCAATATGGTAATCAGCTTTTGCAATAATTTGCTAGGCTTAGCTTAGGTTAAATGCACTGCTCCTATTCGTGTTTCTGATGGTAAGATTAAAGCAATTTAAACTACTTAAATCAGGCCAATGCATGAAGTGCTCCTTAATGCTAGTCATTTGCAACAATTATTTGAGGCCAAATTATTTGCAGGGATGTTTAATTTTTTTTATTTTTTGTCACTCATATGAGCATTAGAGGTTTTAGTAGAGTTTACTGACCTGAATTATCCTCATTTATTATATCCTTGTAATTCATTGGCAGGATGCTATTGAAAGACCTACCTTCTTAGAAGTAAAAATACTTTCAATTGTTTAGCCCTGCAAAGCTGTTTGTGGTTTCTTCATGCGGAAAGTGCATGCATGGGAAGTCAAACTTTAGATAAATGCATGTAATCTGCACTTGAACTATCACGCTAGAAGCTTTAGTGTTAAAAATAATCGTTGTAATTGTTTGTGTTTGAGGCTTTACAATTCAGAAGTAACTTTCTAAGGGTGGTCCAGGATGAAATTCAATTAATGTAAATATGCTTTATTTCTTTCATTGATCGATAATGGTGAGTGATGACATTTTTTGCTATTCATCAATCTTGTGCTGCGATTGTTAAAAAGATAATGACAGGGATAACACGATACTAAATAATTTTGAGTTTTGGTAATATAATAAATAGACAATAAATTTACACATAGAACCCATAAAAGAGAGATTTTGAGGGATGTATGATGGATGCCCTTCTTGAAAATAACAGAGGTAACATCAGCAATAATGATAGATGTTAGAAATGACTGAGATGAAAGGCCGTACGAGAAAAGGAGCTTGAATTTAAAACACATTCTGCACCAGTAGAATTGGCTGCAATGGTTCCAGAGGTATAAAAAATTTTGTAGGAGGAGAAATTTTTTATAGTTTGGAAGTAGTTAGACATAGTCTTCCTAGGAAATAGGAACTAGTCCAGAACTAGAGGCACCTGAAGTGATAAATAGAGTCGAACTAAATGAGGAAGCAAGCTGAGCAATTGATGGTAATTATCTTTGTTTCAGCTATATTTAGGAGGATGATTAGTGTGTCTGCACTAAGGGCATATGGTAAATTTTCTCAATCACCATTAGGCCTTCCTCATCAAACATAATTGTCCCTATTGCCTCGAGAGAAAACGGCTGAAGCTGATTGATGAGATGCCTTTAATTGAAGGGTGCGGCTCTCAGTAATAAGAACTTAGGAGGGAAGGGTTATGATATTAGTATTTTGGAGTTAGACATTAACTGAGTTTGTACGACATTCAATAAAACTTTCAGAATGGATAATAAATTTTGCAACCATAAACTTCCTTCTTTTTTCCAAGTAGTTGGGTCTGTTGTGAAGGGGCGATGCTAAAGTAACACCTTTTTAATTTGCTGTGTGGAGTGTTAAAATATCTCTTGTTTTGCATAACCTTTTTGATGAGGTGCAAACTCATGGTAGACATGATAAATATTACTTTGTTGAAATTAGGCGGGAAAAAGAAATTGACATCTTTTTAGCTGAATCTTGAAACACAGTAGTATATGAAGTAAATATTTCAAGACTGCGTGTATATATCTTACATAATTACTAAATTATCTTACACAATAAATATTATTGTTGGCGTCATGCTGCAATAATAACATATTGGTATTGGGCCATTGGTATAAATCTTATTTGGGGTTAGATTTTCATGAGATAACTTTTTTGCAGTAAATCATGTCTTAAATACGCTTATGTAAATCTCATTGTTAAGTATGGTATATTGGACTGGTGCTGAAAGATAAATGTGATAGATTTGGTAAGGAATCTATTTACATGTAGGGCCTGTTTGGTTGCCAGTCAGAGAAAGTGTGATTTCAGATTTCTAGACGTGGAAGCTGTGAATACTACCTTTCAAAATGTTCTTTGGTTGTCTTGTAGAACTATATATGCATAAACTACTTATGCGTACATAATTTTTTATGGATGTTATAAATATAACTGAAAATGAAACATAAAATAATAATAATAATAAATTATTGAAAACTATATATTTTATATTTATTAATTTATTATACTATAGATAGTATATGCTCATATACGAAAGTCAATAAAGATTGTTATCGACTTTTTCATTTACAAGCTGTAGCTTTAAACAGCTAGTAGATTTACCTAATAAAATTTCACATCTGGGAGTGCTTTTTCAATAAAGAAAAGGCTGTAGTTTGATTCTTTGAAAAGAAAAGGAAAGGTCGGCCTTTTAGGCAAATCTATTTTATATGGAACCTACTATATTCATATAGTAGTGTAAACTGCCAACTCCTCTGTAGCGCCATGACTATATCTCATGCTTTAGTATATTATGTATAAATCAATAAGTTATGTATTTTTTGTTAGGAATTCATGTATAATTTTAATGAATATTATTATACGTTTTGAAATAAATTTTATTGTCAGTACATACTTATGAATAATAGTCTTTATCCATGCATGAATACCATTTTTATTTTCACTGAAATTCGAGAGTATCACATTTAATGATTTCTGAAATTGTGCCTTGCTGGAGAAGAACTCACTTCCCACTTTACCTGTATGACAAAAAAGCAAATTGATCCACTTTCCTCATCTTCTTCCTTCCAACTTTTTGCATTTCCAAACAAGCCGTCATCAAAGAATGAAACCTTAAAACGACAAATATTTTTCACTTGCACGACAGGACTGCATTAAGTTATTAAAGCTTGTGATTGAAGATATGAGTGAATTTGATGAGTTGACGGTTATCCCTGAACTTGTTGAATATGATAAAGTTGTGTTGCTTTGATTTATATTTTAGTTGAAAGTTTAGAAACAAAAGGAGATTGAAATATTTATCACATATATAACTGGATCGCGTGTTGCTTGAACTACATTCTTTGCGACAAGGTATTATGTTTATGCCTGAATATACGAGTAAATTTGGATTTATGGTTAGCTTTGAGCTTTTTGAAGATGAACTACGTTCCTGGATTTAGAATGTAATTGAAATTTAAGATGTCTATGGTGATGCTACCCTATAAAGTCTCCTCAATATACCATGCTATTCAAAATATCATTGACTCGAGTACTTTTTAAAGAACTACTGTCAAGGATTTACTTCACAAGCGGGGGAGACCCTATACCATGTATGCCTTTATGTTTGTTTACATTGCATAGTATCTCCTAAATTTAGTTTGTAGGGGCATTTACAAACATATCATCCAATTCTTATATATTTACATATCTA